TGTGTGTGTGTGTGTGTGTGTGTGTGTGTGTGTGTGTGTGTGTGTGTCTGTCTGTCTGCCTGTCCATCCGTCCACCTGCACATGTGCCGTTTCCCTTTCACATGCATATCATTGTCATATTGTCACACTGACCTTGTTCATTCACAGCTGTGAGCCACTGTTTTGTTTGGACCCAGAAGAATGTCTTAGAGACAGTGGTGGGAAAAAGAGAGAGACGGGGAGGGAATGAGGCACCTGGCCGAGCAGGAACTTTGGGGAAAGAGCGGAGATGCCCAGAGGGGTTCTTTACAAAGTTCTGCCGTGTGTTGTGTGGAATGGACCCTGCTCTCTGCCTCCCCTTGGCTGGTGGTAAAATCTACTGCACATAGGATGCATTGCAACATGGAGTCTGTTTTGGGAAAGTGCTGGAAGCAGGGAGGTCACCTTGAGTGGCCAGGGGGATGAAGGCTGCTCTAGAGTTGGCCATGACAACCAGATCATGTCACCTGCTAGCTGCCCTCCAGGGGTCCTGGCATCCAAGCCATGTCTGTCCCTCCCCTAGCTTCTGCCTCATCACTTCCACCCAAAGCCCCGATCCCACTCTCCCCGAGCTCTCCCATACTCCCTGCCCTGCCCCTTGGCCTGGCAAGTCCTGGTCGTCCCTGAGCAGCTCATCCTTCAGAATCCAACCTAGCTGCTCGTCCCCTGCACTCCCCACAGACAGTTCAGCATGCCTTCTTTGGGCCTTCTAGAATAGCTTGACGTTAGCTTTGGTTAGCTTGTTTTCCTTTCTGTCCTTTTGTTCTTTCATTCTTTCTTTCCTCTTATAACACAGCTGATATAGAACTACATTAAGCCACGTTCAAAGTAAAAATTCCCATCAGTGCAAGGTAACGACAGGTAACTATTGAACGTGACCGAGTGCTGCTTCTTACTGCGTCCTGACAGCAACCCTGGGACGGGCAGTTTCTGTAATTATTCCCATTGAACATGTAAGGAGGCTGAGAGTCCAAGAGGTAAGTATCAAAACAAAATTCTTCCAGCACCTGGCACCTGGCTCTTTCCCCTTCCACCCCGGCCACAGTGCAGCAAGAACCCTGGGAGAGAACGAGCCCAAGGGCACGAGGAGGCCTTGCGGGGCGGGCGGTTGCTTTTGTCAGACCAGGGGGCAGGCCCCTCTCAAACTGTTGCTGTGGTCAGCTCACCACACAGGGGGTGCCACCCCCTTCCCAGCTGGATCCTGTCCATCTCCAGAATCAACCTAGTTCTAACTGTGCCTCTAACGTGGTCTGTGACCTTGGGGACGTGACTTAACATCTCTGGGCCTTAATTTCCTCACTAAAGGAAGAGGTTGCATTGGAATCTGGTCCTGTGATGTCTTGAGGTTTTTCAGTCCCCCTGGTTCCCCTGCTTCACGGAGGGTGGAGCTACCAGCCGAGGAAGGTCAGGATAACCTTGGCAGATTTTTCTTCCTGTTGAGAGAAGATTTTGCCACAGATTTCCTCATTTTTGACAAATTCTAAGGGAGTCAGGGCAATAATAGGCAAGAGACAAAAAAAAGGAACTCGCCATGGAAATTCAAGAGCTGCTCGAGTCTGCCTCCCAGGCCCTCACGGCTGCCGCTGCGTCCCCGGGGGAGCCAAAAGCTGGCTCCGTCTTCTTTGAAGTGGGGTGACGGGTTGGGGGTCATGGAAGTGGGTGATGTGCCGGGCAGGCCGGGGAGCCATTGTTTTCCCCAAAACTGCTGCTGACAGTTCCCAGAGGGCCAAGAACGAAAGGGTAGAGAGAGATTCACACGGTGTTGACATTTCTGGAAAAAAGCAAATGGTAGAAAGATTCAGTTGACGTCCTTCTTGCCATTTAATAAACCAGAATGCTTCAGAGTTAGACATTTAGCATCAAAACGAGATACAGAATCCACAAATCAAATTTTCATCACAATCAAATTTTTGGATGAAGCCACATCGGTGCGGTGTGAGAGGGGGACCTGCTTACCTCCAGCCCTCGGGCTGCCTCCACCCGTGTCATCTCCTTGGCATGACTTAGCCTCCGGTTCGGAGTTGGAAGGAATTCAGTAGCGCAAGATATATTGTTATGCTTTATTACGTCAACGTGTGAGTGTGGGAGTTACTTAGAATCCAGACAATCAGCTCCTCGCTGCTATCCTGCAGTATTTTGTCAGGGTTCTAAATGAAGCATCATCTAGTACTCAAGGGGCCGTATTTCAAGAGTTCCCAGAAGTGCCACCACCCCCCTTTTGTAGAATAACAGGAAAAGACGTGCTTCAGGCACAAACAATCCTTCCAGCTCCCCAGGCGTGGAGCAAGTGAAATGTTTGTTTCTGCGAGCTTTTCTGCAAGCCTAGTTTTCCAGAGCCGGGCTTGGCGAGAGGAGAGGGATTTGGAGCACTGCCCGTCTCACACCTGGCCTGGCGAAGTGACCCCAGCGGGGTCGTCCTGTCGCCCTAGCCCCCAGGTCCTGCTTTAGGAAAAGTGATGCTCGGTTCACTTAGACTCTGAGTGCGCCCTCTCTCCTTTCCCAAGCCCCCCACCCCACCCTCACCCTCCCCCACCCCACCCCCACCCCCTTCTCATCTTTGTCATTGAAATGCTGTTAGATTTCCCTGGAGGAAAAGTGATTCCTCTGCCCCTTAAACGTAGCCCCATAGATCCGCTCTCGCGCCTTTCTGTGAGCCCGGCATGGGACTGCCGCCTCTGTGTTTCCCACGCGGGGGCCCAGCTCTCCAGTTTGGTGTTAAGAGCAGGAGATGCAATTGGTGGGCACAATTGTAGGTTCCTTTCTGTCTGGTCTGTTTCCCCCATTGTGGGACGGGTCTCACACGGGGGTGCCCTCGGGGGGTGCGCAGACCAGCCCCGAAACGGCAGCAAACCCCACAGTGCCAGAGTTTCTCCTTTTCCCACCCGCTTCCCGCTCCTCTGACTGTGCCCAGGAGCATGTCACAGTTGGGCTAGTGTAACCTCAGCACCTTTCACGCACCTGCCGATCGCCCTTTCTAATTCAGAGCAGGCCTCGGGCCACAGTGAGTAGCCAGTCAACAGTCTTTGGCTGAAACGTAAAAACCTTGTTGCTGTTGGTATTGCAGCCATGCTGATTTCCCGTTTGCAAGTAGTGTTAGAAAATGTATGTTTTAGGGAATTCCCTGGCGGTCCAGTGGTTAGGACTCGGCGCTTTCACTGCCGAGGGCCTGGGTTCAATCTCTGGTCGGGAACTAAGGTCCCTCAAGCTGAGCGGTGTGGCCAAAAGGAAAAGAAAAGAAAAGAAAAGATATGTTTTAATATATTTACTTAAGTTCCAGTTACAGAAAACTCTGAGGTGAGTCATAGTACAGGCAGCACCCGGTCATGGCAGGAATCACAAAGACGGACCGTGGACGGCCGAGGTTGAGGAAGACCCGCTCGAAGGGGCCTTTCAGGACACGGAGGACACTCGGTATGGCAGCTGTGCCTACAGCCGGCCCCTTCCCTCCGTTTCAGGCATGGATCCTGAGAAACTCGAGCGGATCCAGCTGCCGGTGCCCACTGCGGCCGAGAAGACGACCTACAACCACCTACTGGCTGAAAGACTCATCAGGATCATGAACAACGCAGCCCAGCCAGGTGCCCGGGCGTGCAGGCGGTTCCCAGGGTTGGTAGAGTTACGGGGACCAGGCCCCACACTGGCACCAGGAGCCCTGGCTTCTAGATCTGGCCCTGCTGGGAATCCAGGCAGACCTCAGCCATTCCCCTGCCACATACCCCCGTGTCCTGGGCCACCCGGACCCCTCCCATCCAGCTGTGTCTTCGTCTCGAGGTCTCCTCCTCTTTCCTTCCCCCATGGTGTTTGTGCCAGACCCTCTCTTTCTTCTCCTTCCATACTCAACCCTGCTTTGGTCAGTTTTGCCTGTGTCTGCAGCCCTCCTCTTGGGGTGGCCCAAGGCCACATTTGAGCATGAACTAGGCTGAGAGTATGAGTGAGGGGGAAGGTTGATAATACGAGATGTGCCCAGTGTCTGGCACGTGTCAGCCTAGTTCTGAGGTCTTGGCCAGCACCGACCTGCAGCCACATTAGGGGCTAGAAAGAGCAAGTGGAATGAACTAGCACAGTGGTTCTCAGCTGGGGGCAGCTTTGCCTGGGACATTTTTGGTGGTCACAACTTGGGGAGGGGTTGCTACTGGCATCTGGTAAGCAGAGGCCGGGATGCTGCTAAACATCCTACAGTGCACAGGACAGGCCCCCACAGCAAAGGATTATCTGGCCCCAAATGTCAATGATGCCGAGGCTGAGAAACCCTAATTGCAAGGCAGGGAGAGAGGCCATCGGGGCGTGAGTGAGTGCGCGGGGAAGGGCCGGACGGAGATGCAGCCTGGTGGAGAGAGAACCGCTGGGCTGAGTGATCAGGAGCAGTCCAGGGGGTGGCCCCAGTCAGGCTCAGGAGAAGGGCAGGCGTCCAGGGTTGGGACTGCAGATGAGGACCTCAGAGTCAAGGGGGGAGGTGGCCAGAAGCACAGTGTGACTGCTGCGGAGTGAGTGCAGGGGCTTGGAGAACAGGGCCCAGGGCCTAAAGGGTATCAGTAAACTCAACAAATGTTTATTGAGTGCCTCCTGCATGCCAGCCTCTGTATGCGAGGGACGAGGGTATAGGAAGTAGGGGACAGACGTGGGTCCTGTACTCCCGGAGCCACGGCTGGGGGTCTGTGGAGTCTAGACCTCAGTGTGGGGTCAGGGCCAGAACTAACACTGTGGGGCTCGCAGATGTTTTTTTTTGTTTGTTTGTTTGTTTTTGCGGTATGCGGGCCTCTCACTGTTGTGGCCTCTCACGTTGAGGAGCACAGGCTCCGGATGCGCAGGCTCAGTGGCCATGGCTCACGGGCCTAGTCGCTCCTTGGCATGTGGGATCTTCCCGGACCGGGGTACGAACTCGTGTCCCCTGCATCGGCAGGCAGACTCTCAACCACTGCGCCACCAGGGAAGCCCTCACAGATGGTTTTTAAAGTCACAGGAGAGGAGAGAGGCGTGTCTAGGACTGAGCTCTGGGCCACTACCGATCTCTGAAGGTGATATAGAGGGGGAGCCAGCTCCAGAGCCTGGGCCAGGCCCCACGTGGGAGGGGGAGGGCCAGGAGGAAGGTGTCCTGGGTGGCAAGAAAGATGTGGGTGGTTCAGGACCAAGGGGCGCTCGGTGGAGTCAGTTTCCACGGGAGGTCTAGTTGGGGGAGGCGGAGCACGTTCCTGAGGATGGTGGCCCCAGACCGGTTGGCAGGAGCTGTGTAACTGGACGGGCCTCAGTGATGGGGAAGGTGGAGCATGGCCTGGGTGCTGGGGAGGAGCGTCCACGGTGGGGAGGATCGGCAGGCCCCCTGAGGACGGTGTATTTCTGAAGAGAAGAGGTTGGGGCAGCTCAGAGGGACAATCTGGAAGCTTCGATGAGGCCTCAGGAGTTTGCTGCTCCCTCTGTTCCCCTGGAGAGATGGACCAGCAGGAGGAATAGTCAGCAACTTGGCAGGAACTTGCAAAGGAAGAAGAGTCTTGGTGGAAAATCACCATCCGCTTGCCTGGAGGCAGCAGGAGGGGCATTTCTGACCTGGCCCACAGCGCAGCTCTGTGGAGGGGCAGGCGGGAGTGAGACTGTGCTCCGGAGAACTCCTGAGCTTGCAGGAGGGCAGGGGGAGGGGGGGCACTGCTGGGCCTGGGCCGCGGTGCAGAAGTGGTGGTGGGGCTGGGACGGGGAGAACGGCCGAGCTGAGACTAACTAGCCTCTGCCCGGGTGGCCCCTGGGGTTGTGTCGTGCTTAGGAAGGCCTGGTTTTGCTCGTATGTAACCAGTTCATTTTTGGGCAAACAGATTCCCTCTTCTCACCTGTTTGCTGCCCTACCCCCACCACTGCCCTAACATACACACACACACACACACACACACACACACACACGCACGCACGCACGCGTGCGCGCAGCGTTAAAGGCCAGCCAGGGAGGTGTGCAGCGGTGTGTCTGCCTTGAGTTTTTCCCCAGTGGTCCATCCTGGTCCCTGTTGTTTCCAAGACCTCCGAGATGTGGCCTAGAAACTACCCCCTCTCCTGGCCCCTCCTTCCACGTGGAGGCCTCTCCCCAGAAATGAGATTAAAGACTCAGGGGGAGTTTGCTAAGAGCAGAATGCCCTTCAGTCAGCGGTCACGGGTGCTTTCTAGGGACGATGCCAGATGTGGGTTTTGGCATTCAGCGCACCTGGAGTCCACCACAGCCCAGGGTGAGACTTGGGACAAGCCACTTCACTTTTCTAAACCTCAGCCTTTAGAGAACCCATTGCAGTGGGGTTTTAGAGAGACTCCTTGAGGGAGCGTCTCTAAAGCACCCAGACCATGCCTGGCTCACAGCAGGACAGCAGGTTGTGTTAGTCAGAACTTGGTTGCAGTTGACAGAAACCCAACTGAGACTCGCTGAGACAATACAAACAAACAAACAAGACTGTTGGCTTGCATGACCTCAAGTCTGCTGGGCGCTGGCTTGAGGCACAGCTGAATCCGGGGCTCAAACAATGTTTTCAAGCCTGTCTTTGGGCTCTGTGGCCTTCTGCCTTGGCCAGATGACTGCCTGCAGCTCCCGCCACCTGTCTCTGTCGGGCTCTAGACTTGCTGTAGCAGAGACGCTGGGCAGCCTGGTGGAAGGGAGGACTCAGGGCTCAGTTTGTAGAACACGCTGGTGAGGTGACCACTGCGGACTATATGCAGCCCAGCACGAGGAGAGGGTCTTGAGCCCGGTGGTTCCAGTAAGTTGTGGAACTGAGCCTTACTGACTGTGACTGGCTCCCTTGCTCGCCCCCTACCCAGTCACTGTGACCAGGGGGCTGGATGGCCCTGACCAGCCTGGGGGATGTGCCCACCCCTGGGACAGGGGAAGCAGGACCAGCTCCACCCAAATCACATGACCGAGAGCAGGGCTAGTGGATCTCCAAGGGAAACTGGGGGTGCTTGTCCCTGAAGAAAGGGAAGGAATGCTGGACAAGCAAAGTGACCGCAGATGGCCACTTTCTAGGCCTTCAATAATAAGTAGTTACCCATTTTTCCTGCCTCCTCTCCCCCCATAAGGGGACTTTGGGTAGCATTTGGTACAGGCGATTTTGATGAGAACATTCAATTGTAATTGATTGGGAAGGAGGTTGGCACATGGGGGCTCCCTCTGTACCCCCACTGGATGTCGGGGGACCTGTCAGCTGACCTCCAAGTCGGGAAGGCAAGAGACTGCCTGTGAGGGCATGCAGCCCGGGGTACGCGCGGCTGACCCCAGTGTGCTCCGCAGATGGCAAGATCCGGTTGGCGACGCTGGAGCTGAGCTGCCTGCTCCTAAAGCAGCAAGTCGTGACCAGCACGGGCTGTGTCATAAAGGACGTACACCTGGCCTGCCTGGAGGTGAGGCCCCCTTCCTCCTGCACCCGTGCCCCGGGGGAGGGCAGGAGGAGGTCGAGGGAAGCTGCTGCATCCAGACCGCAGCCCGGTCCGTGGCACCACTGCGAGGAAGCTGGGCCCCAGACCCCTGCCGCCCCCTCTGCCCACTTGCTCCCGCAGACCTACCCTTCCACTGAGATGGGCCCGAGAAGCCCACTTACTAGTGAGTTTTAGTAGTTCTCTTGTATTTGGCTCTGAATTTGTCTCCGGGATTTTTTTCTTTTTATATTATGAAAGTTTTATACGTGTACAGATACACATTTATTTATTCATGGTTTATCGTGCTACTATGTTCATTCATTGTTTTAAATAGCTTTCATTGTCTTCCCTCTTATTTTCCATGTTTATTTTAGAAAGTTTAGAAACTACAGAGAGGTAAAAGGTAATGATAGTTGACACTTCGGTGTGTGTCTTTCCAGATACCACATACACTCACACACACGTTTACAAGTGAATTTTTCTTTTTATAAAAACAGAGTTATCAAGGCCATGTTGTAGAACTCGTTTCTCTCATGTAACTGTGTATCAGCAGCTTTCCATGTCATCACATTGAATCGTCTGTCCTTTGCCGATTTTTATTTTGAGCTCCTTCTCCCCCACCCCCTTACGAAGAACCACTTTATAGATTAAGATAATTAGCCCAGCGTCTGTCTTATATAGACTCAGACTTTAGAATTTGTGATTTACCCAACTCACTCGCCTCCATGAGACCTGCCCCCTCACACCCTCCCTCTCTTTTAACAGGGAGCCCGAGAAGAAAGTGTCCACCTGGTGCGGCATTTCTATAAGGTAAACTGCCGGAACTCAGGGGTACAGCAGTGTGTGTGTGTGTGTCGTATAAACCAGACTGTAGTGTCTTCAGTTATTTGTTACACCCTATGGGTCCTGAGTAAAAATGTTCAATTTCATCCTCTCCGGAGCAGTGGTCTCTGCACTTTTCTGTCCATGCTCTTGTATCAGAACAACTTTTGAGGACTCACCCCTAGTATGGGACTGTTTATTTATCAATTATATATGAATTTGTTCATTGATGGATTTACATGTAAATGATGAATTATATACAGATAGTCATATGACTAAATAATACATATGAACTTATGTGTTCATGAATTACATATGCTTATACATATAAAATTACTGAATTACATATGAGTTTATAAATTATATGCATGTGTATTATTTATATACATGTACAGGCAGACCTCAGAGATCCTGTGGGTTTGGTTCCAGATCACCACAATAGAGCAAATATCACAATAAAGAGAGTCACGCAAACATTTTGGTTTCCCAGCGCTAATCAAAGTTATGCTTACGTTGTACTGTGGTCTGCTAAGTGTGTGATAGCATGGTGTCTAAAAAAAGAGTACATACCTTAATTAAAAATACTTTACTGCTAAAACATGCTAACTATCATCTGACAACACAGGGTTGCCATGGACTTTCAATTTGTAAAAAACATTCAGTATCTGTGAAGCAGTAAAGCAAAGTGCAATAAAATGAAGTGTGCCTGTGTGCACATACAGGCTCTAAACATTTATCATGAATGTAGTGAGAGCTGGTAAAGGACCACCATAACTTTCAGTATTTGGAAAACTTGTAGATCTGTCTTCAGTTTCCAGATGATTCGTTTTAAGATACTGCATTGTGATGGTTTTGTTTACCTCTTTTCTTAAGGCATAATATAGCCTTAGGCAAGGCTCATCATTTGTCAGCAACAGTGGATTAATCCATATGCCAAGCAGTCTTAGTTTCTGACTCTTTGGCCTCCACATCAGATCTCTCCAGATCCAGTGAGTGGTGGTTTCCCCTTGTACTCTGGCTGATGAAGAGATCCTCCCTGGAGGAGGAAAGGCGTGGGCCCCACCCTTTTCTCATTCACTTGCGCTGTTATTCATTGTTTGTACTCACAGCAGTTTAGCTGTGAGCTAGATACACATATGAACGGGAATCTTTTTCTTTGTGAGAAGCTTTTTAAGCCACCGCCCATCATTGTCAGTGTTCGTTGAGATAAAACCAGGTCATGTAATCTGGAAGTGTACCTTGCCGCGATCAGATGACGCCACGCAGCTGCAGTACGGCGGACATGCCCAGACGTGGGTGGTACCACTGTGGGCCCCACGCACCGGGGCAGAAATCCCAGTCTCCCCTTAGACCGGCCCAAACCACACTTGGCCTTGAAGTGAGGATACGAGTCCTCGGCAGAGGCATCTTTGAAGCTCTTTCCGGTATAACTGCTCTTAGTTTATTCCCCTGCCCCCCACCCCCACCCTGGCCCCCAAAAAGCTTCTGGATTGCAAAAACAGGAAGACATATAGGTAGGCATCTTCCCAGAGGATTTTTCTTTCTCACTGACAAAAGGAGAACTGTATTTGAATTGCAGCTCCCTTCTCCCAACCCAGATTTTTCTCTCTTGTATCCTAAAAGGTTTGCACCCTAAGTACAGTATCTCACGAGCTTATGGATATTCTCAAGGGTTGCTATTTCTGTGGTTATTGCATGGTTCTCACACCACACAAGAACTTCCAAGTTTACCTGTGGTTCTGATCACTGGAAAAACATATAGAGGACCTATTGCTTTTCCCACCCCCAACTGTGTGTGGGGTGGGGGGGCGGGGAGGGCGCTTAGGAGACAGGCCAGGTCTAGCAGCCCTGACACGCTCAGCCAAGTCTCCCCTGCCCTCCCCCGTTGCAGGCCTATCCAGGGTGGTCATAATGACTTGTGTGCATCAACTCATTTTGTCTTCCTATTGCACAGACGTGGGCTCTCATCCCAGTCTTGCAGTGAAACAAAGAGAGGCTCCAAGAGGTACGGCTGAGATTGGCCCCTGGTCTATGTGTCTCACAGCCAATTCCTCCCCGCCACCCTGTTCTGGGAGGGACCTCCGGGGCAGAGTCATCTGGGCTGCAGGAACTCCAAAACCCCAAAGGCGCACCTCAAAAACAAATGGAACAAGCCGTATAATTTTAGAGTTAAGCATATTTAATCATACTCTTCCTTTCAGAGGTGTGGAGCCTCATAGCTTTAACATGACAACTTAACTGAGATTCTTATTTTCTCCAACCATTCTCAGCAAGCAGATGGCCTTAAATACTTGAAACGTTAACCCTTTTTATATTTTAATTATATATGAAGTTATTTTTGTTGTTTTTACTTAACTGCCTTGACACTAGAAATCTAACTACACATGCTTGAAAAAAAGGAGAAAAGCGTTGAGGTTCCATTTGATATTTGGGCTTTCTTTTGGGTGTGTGTATTCTTATTCACGTGTGTATTTCACTTCCTGGTGATTTACCAGAACTCGCTAATAAGAAACAGATGGTACCAAAAACCTCAAACTGGAGTTTATAATACTTTGTTGTTTATGGGGAAAAAATGTGCATAATCTTCTCTTTCCTTCCTTTCTTTTTAGGGAGAAGAAATCTTTTTGGACATGTTTGAAGATGAGTACAGGAGCATGACGGTGAGTGAGGGGCCAGACGCGCTTGTGGGTATGCAAAGCTTGTCCTGCCGAACCAGGGGAGAACTCGTCTCATTCGGAGCTTTCCATCCGAATGACAGAGACTGGTGGGGAAGTGCATTGAAAACAGTGCCTTTTGATCCCCACCAGTGAAACTTCAGATGACATTCACTCCCCCTAAGTTGGGCTGAGTCATAAGGTGGTTCAGAAAGATTCACTTTGATATGAATAGTATTTGATTGAGGACTTAGTCCGTGTCAGGTGAGTCCGCGTCAGGTGTGTGCAGCATGTCGTACATGTGAAATCTCTTAATCCCCATGTCAGCCTGATGGGAGTCACTGCTATCATTATCCTGCTTTTGCCGATAAGGAAATAAGAGTCAGGGAGCTTGAGGGAGGCGCCCACATGTGCCCAGGCATCGAGGAGCAGAGCCGTCACCTCCCAGTGCCCTGCCCTGCTCTGCATATTGTGCTGCCTCCTTCTTCTCTGTGCCACCAGAATGTTCCCGCACCTGGCTTTCCCTCGAACCTGCAGTGCCAGCCCGGGGTCTCCCCTGTCTTGCAGAAGATTGCAGGTTGCTCTGTTTTGTTCATTCGCCTCTGGATCCCCAGCACCTGCCCCTTAGTTGACACTCAGTAACTAGATGATAAATCGCCCTTTTCACGGACAAAAGAGTGAAGTGATTCGGGAACTTTACAATAAACCCAGGGGTTTAAAATGTCAAAAAGAAAAAGACAGCGTGTGCTGCGTGGCTCCCCGGCCCATCTCCGGGCGTCTGGCTGGCTGGGCCCTCACCACATCCTCACTCACAGCACATCTGAGGCCTCGCGGAACCTTTTCAAGGGAAAAGTGTAAATTGGTATAATTCACCTCCAGAAGTGCCCCAGCAGTGACCAGGCCTCCTCTCGGTGCTATGTGAGCCGCCCGTGTGCGCCTCGCACCTTTGATGCCCACACCCCATTATCCCCTCGACCCCCCCAAAGAGTGTCTCAGTCTTCTACTCTTTGGACCATGAATTGGAGTGGAGTGGAGTCAGTGGTCAGCTGCCGCCTTATGTTATGCCCGTGACGTCCCCTTCCACAATGTAATTCTCCAGAAGTTTGGCTTCTTGTTTGGAAACGTAAGGCTCGTGTGTCACTTGACAACACAGTAAAGCTTGGGCTCCTAAACCCCTGCACAGTTTCTGCTTTTGCTACTTACTAACTGGAACCCTGAGCGGGTTGCTTACTTCTGAGCCTGGATTTTTCCATCTGTAAAATGGGGCCCAGACCACACAGCTTTCCAGGCTGGTTGTGAAATACCTAAGGGCTGCCTCCTATAGAGGTTCAGCACCACGGATATTCGGTTCCCCTCCCTCCTGCCCTAGGGAGCTTCCTGGGTTTTGTTTGTTTGTCTCAGTGACACATTTATTGCATGTTTTGCACAAAGCCTGGAACTCTAGGGAAGGAACAGCTGGCATATACCCAGCACCCCTATCTGAGTTGTTAGCTCAGACTTAAGGAAATCAGCACTAAGCTCAGCGAAGTTGGCACAGCCTCTCGGGTGCTGCCAAAGCCAGGCCTTCACTTCTGACCCTTCACTGTTTCTCCTGTCACCTCTTGCTTCATGCAGAGGCATAATGGGCAGGAGTCCTCGAGGGGGCTTGTCGGAGGTGGTTGGGAGCGGAGGGGTGGAGAGGAGGGAGCTGCGAGGGAGCCGAAGGCAGGCCGGGAAGGCCCTGCGGGAAGGCTGGAACCCCAGGTGCCCCGGAGACAGGGCTCTGCCACCCCCACTCTGGCGTAAAGGAATAGCGACGGTAGACCTCAGGCCTTTGGAGGAAGGCTTCACGGGTCCAAAATAAGAAGGTAGGCAGCACGTGCGAAGGGGCTCCCTGTTCACCAGGTCTCTGGACGGCCGGACCCTCTCCACAGCTCTGCCTTGTTTAGTCAGCTTTATGTTACAGGAGGGAAAAAAGTGTGATATGATTGAAGCCCACTTTCTAAAAGAGACCAGAAAAAGCTCATGATGCTTAAAGGAGTAAAATTAATTCTACAGAATATTTACCTTTGTGAAATGTCATTCCTTTATGATGCCAGGTAAATGAAGTGTCAGTGTCCAACAACACGTGCAATTAAGGGGTCAGTACTGACGCAACAAAGTTCCAGGAGGGGAGGTGATGTTAGCATGTGTCTTGGTAATCGGAGAAGGCTTCCTGGAGGCGGTGTGGAAGGAGGCAGACAGCTCTGCCCCTCTGGCCCAGTGGCTGTGGGCACGCGCCCTCCCTCCGAGCTCAGTGATCCCCTCTGTAGTATGGGACAGCCCCAGCACCCGCCCAGTAGGAGGTGAGCCCTGCAGGGGCCTGGCGAGAAGTAGGTGCTTAATAAGTGACTTGGTTCTGTTACCCCAGGTAAGAAGCCAGGGGGACAAGGAAGGAAGGGGAAATGCGGGTTGTGTTGTGGAAATCATAGTGGGTCTGGAGAAGGGCAGGCCTGGGTCCGTGTCATGGTTCTGCCGCCAGCCGGCTGAGTGCGCCCACATCCATTCTTCGGCTTCCCCAAGCCTCCGTTTTCTCGGTAAGTTCGGCAGCCTCCCTGCTGGGGTTGTTGGGAGGCTTGGACAGGGCCTACGCGCAAAGCCGCTAGTTCTCTGCCTGGCCCGCAGTCAGGTCCCCTTCAACGGGGGCCACGTCGCTACATCTGCTGTCATCGTATTGGAAGTGCCAGCGAAGGAGGCGGGCAGCAGTCAGGCTTCCGCACACAGGGCAGACCACCCTAAAGGGACCACCGTAAAGGGCTGGCCTCCTTACTGAGGCCCCTCTCCCTGCTGCGGCGAGGGGAACAAGAGGGTGAGAAAGAAGAGCTTTCCACAGCAGGGAGGCAGCTTCTCCAGAGTGTCTGAGCTGTCACTGCAGATGAGGGGACATCTGCAACTTCAAAAACAACAAGGCACATCTCTCACATCTGGCTGCCTCGAGGCTTCACTCAGTCTGAATCTCAGTTGATGTGCTCTTTAATATGTGCCGATGGAGGTGAGAGGCCAGTGTCACCTGCCCCAGCGCCTTCCTCCCTTCAGTGAGCTTCCCTTCGATGTCTGTCTTCTAGATGAAGCCCATGAATGTGGAATATCTCATGATGGACGCCTCCATCCTGCTGCCCCCCACGGGCACGCCGCTGACGGGCATTGACTTTGTGAAGCGGCTGCCGTGTGGTGACGTGGAGAAGACCCGGCGGGTGAGTGGGCGCTCTACTCAGCCTCTCCTGGGCTGCTGCCCTCCAGGAGCACCTCCGGAGTGGGGGGCGGAGGGTTCCCGACCACATCCAGACCTGCCTTCCAACACGCCTTCGGGAGAGCCAGAGCTCCTCCCTCGCACCCCGCCACCAGGCCTAACTTCCCCAGGCGCGCTGCCCTTTGTTAAAGCAGAGATTGAAATTCCATCGTATCTGGCCACAGATGCCGGATGTCGGTGTTGGTGGCAGGCAGGCTGCCTTCGCTGGCGCGGAGCTGGCCCCAACCCCAGAGCTCTGAAAGAGGAAGCGGGGCCAGGCTTCTGCGAAGGAGCATGGGGGGTGAGCAGTCGACATAGTGCAGGTGAGGCTGCTATGAAAGCAGCCCCGTGAGGCCGGGTCCCCCAGAGATGGTGGTGTTAAGGTATCTGAGGGATCTTGGGGACGAGGCACACGCAAATGCAATTGTGATTCTCGCTGGCCTGCAGGAGAGGTGTGTGAAGAGATTAGTTCTCAGAACCCAGCTGCAGTGTGTGCTTCCGTTATCAGCACTTTTTTTCTGAAGCAATCTCCCAGGGCTGTTCAGGGTATTTTATCTCCCTGGTAAGATCAGTTTCTTTCTTAGAAAGCACCATAACCTTTTCCTAGAAAATCGTTCCCTGGAGATGTGGCGGTTAGTGGATAAATTAGAGGAATTCATTGCACTCGGCTCCCGTTATCAGGCCGCATCTTCCTCTGAGTTAATCCAAGTGTAACCAGAGTGGCAGAAGTGTTTTAACCTTTAGATTTTGAGGAGCGGGATTAACTTGCTGGATCTGCCTAAAGCAAGAGGATTCCATGGCCTTCCTGCTGGTGATTTTGCCTCAGATGCCTGGCCGGGTGGGGGTGGGTCACAGAGGAAGTTGGACCTGTGTCTGCAGTCAATCCACATTCCCTGCTGTCTGACCAAACCCACAGCCCTCACCGCAGGACCCACCCTCTCTCCGGGCCAGTGACACCTTCCTTCCTTGTGCTCCCAGCCAGGGCTGTGGGCCCCATGGCCGGGCACGTGATTGTTTGCGGGCGGCAGTGTTTGCACTGGGCATCCTTGGCATCGGCCTTTACGGGGGGATTGGTTCTGACAAATGCATGTCATGTCTGCACTCCTTCATGGAGTGGACACGCTCACCCTTAACCTTTGGTTGGCCTAGGAGATGCTCCCAAGCAGGGTAATGGCAACACACCCAGTCAAGCTGTTGTATCCCCAGGCCAGAGAGGACCCCGTCCCCAGGTCCTCCTTGGACCCTGAGCCAGAAGGTCCAGAAGATTGTGAACGTTGAGAGCTGCTGCTCTGGGTTGCATCCTGCCTTCTTTTCAGTCCACAGTCCGTCAGGTTTCCTTAACAGTCACATGAGCTCATAGCCTGTGTGATAAAGCAGATCATTCATATCAGTTCTTTATATGAATTTCCTCACGTAATTCTACAACCACTCTAGAAGGTTGGCGCTAGTATTATCCCCATCTTGTAGAGGGATAAACTGAGGCACGAAGAGGTCAAGTGATTTGCTCAAGGTCCCCCAGCTAATAAGTAGCAGAGCCAGAATTCAACCTAGGCAGCGTGGCCATTCTGACCCGCTGCCTGCCGCTGCCGCCTTCATTGTGTTTATTAGCCCCACTCCTCAAGGAATCAGAGTCTAGAGGGCGAGGTGGGAAGAGGCAGTGCCATTCCATGGGCCAAGGCCGTTTCTAAAGGAACATGGGGTCAGGTCCCTAATCCTACCCGGGGAAGGAGGTGGAGCAGCACAGAGGGCTGGTCCTTGAGCCAAGACTGTGGGGAAGGGCTGGGCAGCTGGGGGAGGCAAAGGCCCAGAAAGACGTGGCACATTCCAGCACCTCCGACAAAGAGGGGACTGTGGCCGGAGCCCACCGTGAGGGAGGCTACGTGGGAAGTGATGGGGCTGGGAGGAGCTGAAGGAGGCAGTTCCCAGAGGCCTTGGAGCCCAGCGAGGACCTTGGCCTTGTTGGCTGGTTCCTGGCATCATGTCCTGCTGGCTTGGGGCAAACGATTTTGATCCACAGGAGAAATTTAGGGGTGAGGCGTATGGCAGAGGGAAGGTTGCTTGGGCTTTGGGGTTCCTGCTCCCTTCTGAGCCACTGTCTCCTCACCCAGAAAGCAGCAGTGCCTGCCCTGCCAGCGTCCTCAGGAGGACTCAGCAGTAAGGCAAAAACACAAAGGCCAGTAGGTGCCTGAGGCTGGGGTTCTTCCTCCCTTGCCCTCACATCTCTCTTAGTTCAAGTTCCCAGGACTGTGCTGCACGCCTCCCTTGCCCCAGATGGGCTGCTAACTGATGCACAGGCAGAGCCCCTGGGACGTCTGGGCTTCCCTGGGGTCGCTTGTGTCCGGTGAGTTTATAAAAGCAACTCTCAAGTCCCAGCATCCGTGGGTATAGAGCCAGGGAGAAGGTGGCAGGATGAGATAAAAGGGGGCTGGCCATCTCAAAGCAGAGCCATCCACCTGAGAGAAGCTTCCGTTTGTGACTTCCAGGATCCATTTCTGAAGGGGAATTTTGACCCTTCGCCCCAGTCCAGTTCCTGATGCAAGGCAGCTGTCTGGAATCCTCCAGAAGCTTAGCTCCTCGGCCCATTTCAAGCATCAGAACACAGCAGTGTGCTTTGAATTTGAGCTAAAGGAAGTGTATGGTTTAGCAAGCAATTGAGGGCTTATGTGGTTTGTTTCATGTTCTTTGCTTGTATCCAGAGAACATTCCATTTCGTCCTGTTGGATTCAAAGGTTTTCCTTCCCTTTCTTTTTTCCTTCTGCCGAGTATAGGCTTTTCTAACTTTTAGGAGGCTGACCCTTTTCAGAAATCCCACCCTTTATTTTCCTTAAGGACTTGTCAAAGTAGTTCAAACCACCCTTACTGGTAAATCATTCCTTCGTACGTTCGTCAAAGAGCCGCTGGACTCCTGAGGGTGCAGGAGTGAGTAGGGCATGCGGCCCTACTCGGGGCCTCTCATCGCATGGAGGGAGGCAAAGTTTATGAACAAGTGTGATACCAGGCTGCAGTGAGGGCTATGAAGGAAAGAGGGGACACCGCTTTGGAGAGAGTGATCAGGGGAAGCTGCTCGGCCAAGGTGACATCTGAGCAGAGACCTAGAGAGTGAGAAGGAGCCAGCCAGGCAAAGATGTAAAGGAGGCACTTTCCAGACAGAGGGAGCAGTAAGTGCAAAGGCTGCGAGATGCAGAAGAGTAAGGCATGTCCAGGGAGCAGGGTGACTGGAGCGGAGTGAGGGAAGGGGTTAGGAGAGGAGGGTCAGAGCCTTGCAGACCGCGGAGAGACATCTGGCAATAAAGTCATGTTTTCCCTCTTGCCTTTTGCAAGTTACACCATTTATCCTATCATTCGACATATTTATCAAGCATTTTCTAGGCACTGTGCTAGATGCAAGAATAGAGAGAAAACAAATAATACAAAATAAGACCAAAATAGCAAGAGTGCCACTGAGCCATCCCAGCTAAGAAGGGAGATTCATGTTGAAATGAGGTCACAGGAACTACTGGCATCTGATGAGGACATGCATGCAGAACCTTGGACTTGAGCTGGACCCACCCCACATGGAAGGGCAGTTGAGAGAAGCAGTTAAGAAAGAACACAGGCTCACAGACCAACCAAGGTTCAATCCCAACTTTAGCTGTGTGACCTTGAGCAAGTTACTTAACCTCCCTGAGCCTCAGGTTCCTCATGTATCCTGCCTGTCAGGTCTTGCCCAGAGTAAATGGGAGAGAGCAGCTGTGAGGTGCCTGAAGAGTGGTAGAGCATTCTAGCATCTTGAGTGGGAAAGAAACAGAGTCTTTTAATGATCTAAACCTACTGAAGCTTAATGCTAGAGAAAAGAGAGTTAGGGAGAGGACTTTCTGGTAAATACCCAAAACTGAATTTAAGCCACTAGCCATCTTTTTTTTTTTTTTTTAACATCTTTATTGGAGTATATTTGCTTTGCAATGGTGTGTTAGTTTTTTCTGTATAACAAAGTGAATCAGCTATACATATACATATATCACCATATCTCCTCCCTCTTGCGCCTCCCTCCCACCCTCCCTATCCCACCCCTCTAGGTGGTCACAAAGCACCGAGCTGATCTCCCTGTGCTATGCAGCTGCTTCCCACTAGCTATCTCTTTTACACTAGGTAGCCATCTTTATGGAGTAACCATGGAAGCCATCATGAAATAAAGATACTTGCATGAAGTTTTATTTGTCCCTCCGAACGTTCTGTGTCCCTGTTCCCTCGTAAAACCACAAACAGTTTTTGTGTTTATCGCTATTGAGATTGAGGAAATAGGCTATTTTTCTTTTACTCTTTGGATGTATATTACACATTAAAGAAAATACAATAACATCTCATGAAGTTTCAAAGGTAGGGGGAAAGAATTTCCTGTGATTTCATCACCCTAAACAAACAGTACATTTTGTGTGTCTTCTCCCATTTTTGTTTGCAAACACATCTTTTCATGGTTGCGTGGGTATGGACCCATGGACTTGCATTCATCCTTGCTGCTTTTCTCTCTCCATTGTAGAGCAAGAAGTTTTTCATACTGTGATACAGTTTTAATAAGCCTAATTTCTTACTGCTGCATAAAACGTTCATCTGGTGACTTTTGCCATAATTTACTCAGGCATTTTCCTGCTGGTGGACATTTTGGTTGCTCCCAGTATTACATTATTTTCAACTAAACTGTAATGAGCAGCTTCACAAATACAGTGTTTCCTTTCTTTTGGCTTATTTCTTTAGGATAAGTTCCCAGAAGTGGAATTTCTGGTTCAAAGGGTATGAATATTTTGTTGTGTGACGCTACATGTTGCCAAATTGCTTTCCCAAAGGGCTGTGCCCACTTTCAACTGCTTCAGCACTCTTTTAAGAATGACTGACTTCCACGGCCTCGGTGGGCTCCTAACTTGAGTGACTGTCGCCTGAACTCATCAGCTTGTGCACCCGGCAAGGGCAGCGGGAGAGAGGGCTCGGACCAAGCGTTGCTCCAGGGCTCAAGGTGTCCCCTCCACTGTCTCCCACCCTGTGATCGGGGTGGTGGACACTCCATTTGCAGAGCTCCAGCCCAGGCTCGGGGGATCCACGTGACTCGCCTGACTCCAGTATGAACCAAGCTCTGTCTGACTCGGAAGCCATCCCCCACCCCACTCATGGGGCTCTCCTTGCCAGGGCTTACTCCCAGCTGCATGGAAGCAAACCGGAAAAGTCTCTTCTTTATATTTGAGCTTGGTCAGCCGTCACGCCTTTCCAAATCTAATCTCTTCTTCCAGAATCAGTCTTTGTATCGTTCTATGATAGCATCTCAAAGAATAAGGATGCCTTTTTCCTTTTCAGTAATACTTTTAAACTTGCACATTTATTTAGCAAAGTCAAGAAAAACACTCAATAAAAGCCTGGGCCCTAATCCTTCAGTCTTATGAAGGCAAAGGCATGTGGTTGGAAGAACACAGACTTTGGAGTCTGGTTATTAGTTGAATCACCTTGGGCAGGCTACCTAACGTCTCTAGGCTTCGGTTTCCTGTCTATAAAATGGGAACCGTGCAGGGTTGTTAAAAGGCTCGAACAAGGTGACACAGTACAACCCTCACCTGTACCTGGCAGGCCATGGGTAAACAGAGGGAGCGGTTATTGTTTTAGAGGGCAGTGGGATGACCTGATGACCCTTATCCTGGTATCTCACCTTTCTTTTGTGGATTCTCGGAGTTGTGGGGCTGGTCACCATGCCTGCCAAACCCCATAGACGCCCATGGGAGCCCCGCTTTCGCCCAAGTGGAGTACTTGGCCCTGTGGGAACATGCCCTCACATTCATGTGTGTGGGCTTCTCACATGCTCTTCCTTCTCTTAGGAGTTGGGGCAGGACACAGGAAAAGTATTATTGGGGGTGTTTATTTTGTTTTATATTTTTAATTATTTTATTATTGTTATTATTTTGTATTCCTGGAAATATCTTCCATTTTGTTACTTGAAGAGCAAAAGCAGATGTTTTATCAAAAAGGTCTACCTTAGGAGCCAAATTCCAGGCTCCTTTAATGTTGGAAGGTTTCTGGTTTTCAGAGTGATCGGGCTGTAGAAAGCCACACACGTTTCTCCTTTTCATCCCCCAGCTTTGGTCCTGCTTGATTTCTTTGCCTTCAGAACTCCGAGAGGAATGGGTTTTTGTCACAGAAAAACCCTTCTTCTGTTTTATTTCCGTTTTCTGTTTTATTTCCCCTCATCTCTGAGGTCAGGACTCCTTACTTGAGAGCTCAAACAGCCAAGTAGTTTAAGTGACCACCCACATCTTGGGCTTTCTGCACTTGGGCTGGGTTTGAATTCCCTTGTGTATATGCCTAAGTGACACAAGTATCAAACATTCCTGGTTTCAGTCCCCACCTCACTTCTCTCAAGTGTGAACTTGATCACCCTGCCCCTCTCAGCTCCATTCCTTCCTGCTTAAAATCTTTACATTGCAATAAGGTGCCTATGGTGCCTGGCACGCAATTGGTGCTTAATATAGAAAACCTGTGTTGCTGGGTTTATAGTGAAACTACAACTCTTTTTCTTCTGATTATTACAGATGTCTTTATGAAGACTGCACTTTAAAACATTAAAAACAATCTAATCAATGCCACCACCACCACCATCATTATCATATAAAAGCTTATCTTTTCTCTAGCGCTTCTGGTTGACAGGGGATACCTGACCTCACAATAGGTCCAGGAGATAGGACTGTTCTTCCAGTTTTCTGCATTAGGAAATTAAGTAATTGGCCCAAGGTCTCCTGCCAGTTCTGGGCCAAGGCAGGATTAGGGTTTAGAGGTGCCCACGGGCACCCTGGTTGTCTGGGTCATCGGGAGCCAGTGCGAGCCTGGCTCTTTGCGAGCAGTCATCTGTCCCCCCGCCTCTTGCGTTGGGAGGCACCTTGTCTTATAAAGGGCAGCCTCCCGTCTCAGTGACCCAGGCCTACAGCCTCAGAACTTGGAAACAAGAGGACCCAAAAGCAGCTGCATGGCTCACCAGTGGTGACAGTGGTTTGTCCCCGTCGCCTCCCTGTGCCCAGATGTTGAGTGGCGGGAGTAAGGGGTGGCTGCCCCTTTACGGACCCCGTGCTGGCTGCTGCCCCGCCAGGGTCATCTCAGAATCTCCCAGCAGCCCCGTGCGGTAGAGACTCCCGCCCCCATTTCACGCAGGAGGGAATGGAAGCTCGTGGGGGTCAGGGGCCTTGCCCAGCGTGGTGGAGCTGAGAGTCCAATGCGGACCTGTATGTCTGACACAGGAGCCGTTTGCCTCGGGCAGGCCCACCAGCTACGAGTCAGGGAAAGTGGCCCAGAGGCCACCTCCCCTGTGGCTGCCCCTCCCCCTCCTGGCCTCTTGTTGGTGGGCAAGTCAGCCCCAATCTAGGACTCAAGCGGAGGGTACCTCCAGAGCAGGCTAACCCCAGGGTGAAGGCTGCTTTCTGCACAAACTTGTCTGGCTTCCAAGGCCTGGGATTCTGCTTTGTTTCTGCTCTCTGGAAATGCCTGCTTACCCTGGAGTCTGCCAAGACTCCTCGATGGGCCAGGAATCCCTGTGCTGATGGGGGCCACCTCTGTCCCCAGAAAGCTGGCTGGGGAAGTCTGAGGGGCTCTCGGGGCACTGACATCACTGCACACTTGCCAGGTGGCAGATCCTCTGCCCTGTCAGTGGCACAGCCCCTGTTGTAAGGCCAAGGGGCCAAGGCTCCTGGGTGAAGGGCTGCCGGGTCTGGCCATCCCTGAACCCCACCAGCATCTCACCTTCTGTCTCCCTCACCCCCACATCCAGTAGGTAGGTCCTTGAAACACTCATGATTTGGATTTCCAAATTCCGTGCTGGTTTAGTTGGAAGAGGCCTGGTTCTTGCCCTCCGTAGATGTGAGCAGGGGGCAGGTCACTTGGCCTCCTTGGGTCTCAGTGCCTCATCTGCGAAGTGGGGCTGCCTGCTGAGCAGGGGTGCCATGAAGGTCACATGACACTAGAGGAAAGGTCTTGGCAAGTGACAGGTGCTCAGTGAGGTGAAGTGGCCCAAACCTGAACCTGTGGATAATTGAAAACAGGGTGCATCCTCGATTGTTTTTTATCTTGGCTCTGAAAGCACCAGAACCGTGATACTGGGAGAGGGGGGCTTCGTTTTGCTTGTTGTAAATCGAGAGTCACTGTGTGATTTCTCCACTTGGAGCATCTCACCAAAACGACTTCAGTCTCCATCTTCTCTGCTCTCCGAACTGTTGGTCCAGGCCATCCGGGTGTTCTTCATGCTCCGTTCCCTGTCACTGCAACTGCGAGGGCAGCCCGAGACCCAGCTGCCGCTGACGCGGGAGGAAGACCTGATCAAAACGGATGACGTCCTTGATCTGAGTGAGTTGGTCACCCCAAGTCACGGCGGGGGTGGGGGGGGCACCACCAGGCTGGCTCACGCGTCGCTCGGAGGGTCATGTGCGACCTGCATGTTGTACTGGGATTGATTTGTGACCATGAGCTAACAGAGTGTGCTTGTCACACGAAACTTTCGAAGAAAGGGCCCTAGATTCTGGGCACCTTGAAGTCAGTCTGTGGGCCCTGCTTTCTGGAGACCAGTGGGCGCTGTGTGGGGGTTTTGCTGAAAGATCTGTGCACAGTGATTGGGGTCTTAAGCGGGGGTGGGCACAGCTCCAGGGTCCCTACCCTCCTTATAGTCATAGCAGCACCAGTCTGATTGGTTTTGTGTATTAAAGGTTGTCTGTATGATTTTAATGAGGATTCTAAAGGATTCTGCTGCTAAAACAAAGAAAACTTTCAAAAATGCAAATCACCAGCATTTAGGTAAAGATGATGGCTTTGGAAGCCAGAGAACCATGTGCTTAGCCTGCAAGCCTGGGCTTCTTATTTAACCATGCAGTGCCTCAGTGCTCTACCCTGCAGTGTGAGGCTGAGATTTAAAGGAGACAGTGGGTATAAAGCCTGGTCATGTTCCCGTAACCCTTCTCATATTCATATAACTCTCTTTTTCCTCTGTTTGCTGTGGGGCACGTGCACACTGACGGGCAAGATAGTTTTTTGTTTCTTAAAGACATTATGATATTTTAGGACTCTTTGGTTATAAGAGATAGAAAACCCAACTTAGACTAGCCTAAGGAAAAAGAAAGGGGAATTCGCTGATAACCACTGTCAAACCAGAAGTAGTTCTGCCTTCAGGCATGGCTAGATCTAGGGACTCAAGCAGTGTCATCAGGAAGTTGCCACCCTCCATCTCTCAGCTCTGCTTTCCTTTGTTCTGGCTTCATCCTCCAGAGGGCTCTCACCAAGTAGTGACAAGATGGCCAAGATCTGCTGAACTGGCTAAGCAGCGCTGACAAAAACAGAGCTTCTCTTTCCCTATAACTTTTTAGAAGTTGGCTAGGCCAAGGTCACATGCTCAGCTGTGGTGCTGGGAGGTGGGACCTGTTCCTTTTGAACCCCATCACCTGGGGATGAGGAAGGAGGGGGCCCTCAAAGGAAAATCACAAAGAAGAGATGGGAGCTGGAGAGGCAGGAGCAGCAGATGGCCACTCTGTAGTGTACAGTGATGAGAGGGCCCTTGTTTTAAATCAGCGTTATTGAAATATAGTTTACATCCAATAAAATTCACCAAGTTTTAGTGTACAACTGAATGAGTTTTAACAAAACTCATTCAGTTGTGTGACCAGCGATTATGATATAGACCATCGAGGGCTGACTTTTGAGCCAGGTACCCCTGCCCTGCTCTGTATTCCCTCGAGCAAATGATTGAAACCACCACAGCTTCTGTTTCCTCACCTGTAAAATCAGGATGATCTTCCTTACATTACGGGGCTGTTTTGAGACTTGAGTGAACTGTAATATGAAATAGAATATGACCGAGCATAGTGCCTCGCATATGCTCAGGAGACCGGAGTATTACCCAATAATCAAATGCGGTGGTGCCTGTGAAGAGCAGGGCACGCTGCCTGACACACAGAAGGTTCTCGGTAAATGAGTATTATGGGTTTTACCTGATTGTCCGACTCCTTTTTCTTGCCTCCTCTTGGTTTCTGCTCTTTTTTCCTTCTCTCTCAGAAGAACAAGGAAGCTACGTCCCCTCTGTGCTCTATGCCCATCTTCTTTGGCCCTTTTCCCCCTTGAGAAATGGTCACAGGGGTTTCTGTAAAGGTTTAAATTGATGGAATTGGCTGGAGAGACCCATAAACCCATCTTTCTCTGATTGGATTCAAGGAAAGAGAGAGAAACAGTGTGCTTTAAAGGGGGCCACTCCATCAAGGCAGCAAGAATATTTGCATCCCTGAAATGGAATTAAATTTTATGCTGGGAATTCATATTCCCTCCCTCCTCCCGCTAGGAATGGCCTGCTGAAACGAAGGTTAAAAGTATTTCACTTATCAATTTTAATTGATTAGATTGCTAGTTGAGATCACTTAACTGAGCCTTTTTGGGTAGTTGGCCATTAAGAAAGTAATGGCTGGGGCTTCCCTGGTGGCGCAGTGGTTTAGAGTCCGCCTGCTGATGCAGGGGACGCGGGTTCGTGCCCTGGTCTGGGAAGATCCCACATCCCGCGGAGCAGCTGGGCCCGTGAGCCATGGCCGCTGAGCCTGCGCGTCAGGAGCCTGTGCTCCACAACAGGAGAGGCCACAACAGTGAGAGGCCCGCGTACCGCAAAAACAAACAAACAAACAAAAAAGAAAGTAATGGCTGTCTGTCTTTACCCAACCTGATTGCAAATTATGTCTTTGCTAAAGAGGGTGCTGTCCAGAAAATACTATGAATTATGGATTTTATGAGCATATGGTACTAGAGTAAGATACGCATGTGTTGACTTTTCTTTTTGGTGTTTATTCTTAAATGCTGGAGCTTCTCACCTTCCATTGGGGAAAAATTAACATGCTTTGCACTTCACAAAATGCCTTCCTGTGTATACTAAAGGTAGGAAACCTCCTATGTAGGTGAAGGCATTCATAGGTGCTGAATGTTGGAGGCTCAGCTTGCTTCTTATGAGGCTGTGTTTTGTCTCCCTGAAGCTTGAGGAAGCTGACTCAGGGAGAAGTGTTTGGGGGTTGGTCAACTTTTATCTAAGGTGATAGGGTCTGCTTAAAGGAATGCCAGCTCTGCAGCAGGAAGAGACTTTAACTGTATTTGCTAAACTTGTCACACTTTGATAAGAAACCACAGCATAAGAGCACTCAGGAGCCATCCCACATGTCCAGCAGCCAGCTGGGGCGCCAGGTATGGCAGGTGAGCTCTGTCAAGGTGGCTTCCAAAGAAGAGCATCAAAGAGGCCATCACCCCTTCGGAAAAAATGTGAACTGTGCTGAAAGCCTGTTTCGTTTTCACTGGAAAAAAGTGTGGTGTGGGGAGGAGGTCAGGACTGGCAGCCATAAAGGAAGGAGGGGACGGCGAGGGAGGGAGGGAGGGAAGGGGGAGGGGAAGGGAAGACTAGAGTAGACTTGACTAGGGAAAGTGGATTCGATTTTAGAGGGAACATAGAGTCTCTGTACACGCGGGCTTCAGCTTCAGAAGTTTGTGCCTTGTGCTAAGCCTCACTTCCTTGGCTCCACCATTTCTCTTTTAACCACCCCTGCTCCCCGCCGCCCCCAGTGTGTTAAAGCAAAGGGAAGACATCATGTTACTGCGTCTGTAAATACTTCTCTCTAACAGTTAAGGAGTTTGGGTTTCTCTCCTTGATTGAATTGGTTGCCACCGTTGCAGATGGTGAGCTTCCCCAGCCCCGAAGCTGCTCTGGGTAGAGCCCGGAGACGGGGCGCGCTCTCCTGTGTTCCAACCACCTGGCCCCATTGACGTTTGGTTTTGCAGCCCCTGCTGTAGTTGGAAGCAAGCAGCTTTGTGACCTTGCTCAGGGTCTTAATGCTCGTGAGGCTCAGTGGCCTTGCCTTTAAAATGGTTCTAAAAGACCTTGCGAGGAGGGCTGTTGAAGATCAAAAGAGATCACGTTCATGAAGCGCACGGCGCCCAGCTTGGCGCGTAGCAGGTGCTCGGTGAATGAGAGCTGGCGTCCCCTCAGCAGCTGCTGAATCAACGAGATAGAACTCATGCTGCGGGATGCTGAGGGGTTGGCATTTTCTGCTTTGAGGAGCGCATTCTGAAATATTTAAATCAGTTCATCACTTGTATGATGACGCCATTTTGGGGGGTAAGAAAGATGGCTCTGGCTGCGTGGCCCAGATGAAGGGCGCTGTACTGCATCCAGGCATCCAGGAGGGCGGGGCACTCCTGCACAGTCACTGCCGGGCCTACTGACCGACAGCCCAGTAGTGTTCTGAGGACAAACAGAGGAGAAGCCAGGTTCCTGCCCGTCTGCCTGCGTCCAGACAACATGGGCAGTGACAGTATGGGAAATTCCCCCCTAACCCAAACACCCAAAAGAGATGCCAGGCAGCCACCAGGCATCCTCAGGAAGCATCCACGTGGGCACTTGACATTCACATAGTTGTAACCATGCCATTTGCGGCACGCACCTAACCTTGTATTCTGGTTCTTTAAATCCATTCAGCGAAACCCATCCATTAATTCAGCTTACTGAGCACCTGCTGCATGCCAGGCACAGTGCTGGGATCTAGGATGTCATAGTGAACTGAAGTCAGACTTGCTCTGTGGTGCTTACAGTTGGGGGCAAGGGGAAGGGACCATAAACAGGTGAGGAAGTAAATACTAAAGGCACAATCACAGGTTGACTGAGGTGGCTCTGTGGAGGTGATGAACAGGGTCCAGGGCTAGAGAATAACTAGGAGAAGAGGGCTCACAGGCTGGCGAGGGAAGCCTCTTTGGAGAGGCACAGGCAAGGAGGGACCAGCAGATTGCATGAGAAAATGCAGAGATGAGGCCTGGGAGTTCGAGAAGATGTCAGAGTGGGAGGCGAAGGCAAGCGTGAGCTTGCTACGGCCTCCCAGAATCCTGGAGGAGGCCCATGCGGCTGGCAGGAAAGGAGCAGGGGAGAGAGCGGCTGCGATGAGCAGGATCTCAACTCCAGTGCAGTGGGAAGCCATCAAAGGGTGTCCACGGGGACAGCCATCCTGAATGTTCACTTCTAGAACCGGAACTGCTGGGTCAGACGGTGCCAGCAGAGGCCTGTGAGCCATGTCGAGGGTCTGGAGAGGCCATGTAACCTAGTGGTTATGAGTGTGGGCTCGGGAGCTACGCTGTGCCGGGAGAAATCCCAGCTCGGCCCCTTGCCACCTGCCACCATATGACCTTCAACGAGTAACTTAATCTCTTGGCACTTCAGTTTCGTCGCATGTAAATCAGAGCTGTTGGGAGGAGTCAGTGAGTCAGGGTATGTGGTGCGCCTGGCACAGTCATAGGGAGGCCAGTTAAGAGGTTGTGATAGGGCCAGTGGCAGTGGGGAATGAGGC